TTACCAGATCTTACAAACTTACTACCTGCAAAATAGTTTTGTGGTTCTGGTGATCCAGGCTCCTGATTACTAATGCTTCAACTAAGAAGGCAATCCAAAGGATACTTACTCAAAGCATTGAATTTAATGGGGTTTACTCCCAAATTTGTGAGCTCAGTGATGGCACTATATATATGTGCACACACACACGCTTTTACAGTGCCTAGGGATTTGTGTGGCAATTCTTTTGTGGCAGCAGGCTGATATAGCAAATCTTACAGAATTTTCAGTTTTGTAGCTGACTTGACATTCAATAAACACAGCAGATTTCTTGCAACCCCTTTCTGTGCTAAATATTCTTTTTGCCAGTTGACATGCCATTGCTGAAAATGTCTCTTGATGAGCTGTTCTGCTGTTTCCTAAAGCTTTCTGCATGCCATTGTGTCTTATAACCAAATGCAAATTAAAAAGCCCTCACTAAGGCTAGTAAAGCAGAAATGGAAGACACTGCAGTACTATACCACTATTAATGCTACTCACCAAGTTATTATAGTATGTTAGTGGCCGTGCATCACAGACATAACGGAAAGGAAGGTTGTTCGTCACTCAACAGAAATGACCAAGGTGTCCAATACTGAATCAAACAAAAAATGACTATAACGAGTATATTTGGGAGGCATTTTGATTCATCTTAAATGGAGCAGATAAAAGGCTATTGATTCTGATAGCATGTTAAGGTCTGAATAGAATGGTGCAAAAGTTAATAAACACTTTACCAAATTCAAAAACCTTCTGTAGTGTAAAATAACCCTTCTCAACTGAGAGATTGGTACTGATGTTTTTTGCATCAGTAAATTGTTCCTCTCTGCACCTGTCTGCTCCCTGCCTTCCCATAACAAAGCAGGGAAGGTCCTTAGCTCAATGAAAGGTCCTTAGCTCAATGAAAGTACGGTATATGCTTTCCCTGCAGGTGGGACTGGGAATATCCAAAACCCTGGAGAGCCACTGCCAATCATTGAAGACGGTACTGAGATAGATAGACCAATAGCCTGACTCAGTGTAAGGTGGCCTCCAATGTTCCAATGACTTGGTTTTCAATCTCTGTTAGTTTTACTTTTAGCTGAGAGTTTAACAGCCACAATCAAAAGTTTGGTAACACAACTTTAGTATTTTATCTGACTTTGGGAATACCAGCATTGCAACAGAGTTCAAAGCAACCCCTTGCACCAAGAACCTCTTCACGTGACCCATGGTAGAAGATGGATTAGAGCTGTGCATGCCAGTTCCTAGATTTTGGAGAATTAGAGAGAGAAGTGAGCAGCTGAGTCCTGGCTGTGAAACTGTAAACATGTAAGAACTGGCCATAGGATGGAAGCCAGAGGCACTTGCAGGAGATTTCTATGGCTACTGTGTCCTGAAATAGTCGTGGTAAAATGGCATTTGGGGGGGGGCAGCTATATAAACTAACCCAAAGTGATTCATAATCACTTCTGGTAAGAGAAATAAGAATCTGTAACTACTGATATACTCTAGAATTTTGAAAATAGTTTTGGTATTTTTTCATTGTATTCCAGAAGAAGAAGGAAAAAAGTACTTCTGAATTAAAGGTAAAAGAATAAACGTGATAGGAAGAGATTTGGGGCCTGCTTCTGTAAAGGCAAGGCAAAGTGAGATAATGGAGCAGATGGGGCAATACATCCCAATTCCCAGCCTGCCCTGGACATCTGGTCCTCCTAGGAAAGGATATTGCAACAGCTGTTTTTTTTGGTGGTGAGATAGGATTGTGCACCCAAGTTGAAGTTGTTATTCCATATTGTTCATTATTACAATAATGGACATGGATGGATCTAACAATCACTAGTACCAAATGACCTTGTCCTGTCTCCATTTAATCTGTCATGACAAGGCCATAGCCTTTCAACTGTTCTTGAACTAGATTGTTGGAGAAAATAAAATAAATGTGTTTCAGATTTGGCCTGTGAGCTAATAACATTTCTGCACTTAACCTTTCCCACTGCCTGCAAGCTTTCACTCTTACCTGTAGTGTAACATCCTCACTTCCAGCATTTTTTGATTTGTGCTGACATGAAGAAAGGAGGCAGCTTGCCAGGAAAACCTTGGCCAGAAGAAGCTGATAAACATAGCACAAAGGCTATCCCAGCAGAGAACACCAGACGACCGCTGCCTCCCATTTTCTTGACAGTGTATAGCGAGCCAGCCAAAAATACTAGCAAATTGTCTTGAAGTTAATTTATCCTCGGTGGTGAATATGCTTAATCAGCACACATCTCTTTTTATATTGAGAGTGGGAGTTTTACCACTGCTGTAGACACAGTTGCTCCCAGGCATGGCCTTCTGCTTCTCTTTCTGGAAAGGTGTTCAGTAGGACTGTACCCCAGGCTGATTTGGATTGACCCAGAATTTGGTCAAATTGGGTTGAGGCAGCCTTGGGTGGGATGGTGCTGTCAGAAGTGGTAGTGATCTGGCTGCAAAGAAGGAGAGGGGAGGCATGCAGGCTGTGTGTGTCTCCTTCTCCCTTCCCTCCCGACTGTGCAGGGCCTCCAAATCTGTTTAGATCAGGGGTCAGCAAACTTTTTCAGCAAGGGGCCAATCCACTGCCCCTTAGACCTGGTGGGGGGCTGGACTATATTTCTTTGGGAGAGGGAATGGACGAATTCCTATGCCCCACAAATAACCCAGAGATGCACTGTAAATAAAAGCACACATTCTACTCATGTAAAAACACGCTGATTCCCCGACCGTCCGTGGGCTGGATTTAGAAGGCGATTGGGCCGGATCCGGCCCCCAGGCCTTAGTTTACCTACACATGGTTTAGACTGTACATGCAGAACCCACAACGGATGAAGAGGAAGCATTGGTGATTAAATGAAAACATTACTTTTTCTGAAGCCAATCAATAGCAACATAGCTGTCTTCTTTTTTAAAAAATAAATAAAAATAAACACTTATGTCAGCTTTTCCCAATTTGGGTGTTTTCCAGATGTTGTTACGTGCCAGCTCCCATCAGCCCCAGCCAGAATATCTAATGGTCAGAGATGATGACAGCTGTGGTCCAGCAATATGTGTGGTCTAATTACATTTGTATCATACATTTGCTCCAAGGAGCTCAAGTTGACATGCCCATGTCTCTCTCCTCCACTCTCATGACAACCGTGTGAAGTAGGCTAAGAGACCACCCTAATGTCACCCAGTGGACTTCATGGCTGAGTGAGGATTTGAGCCATGGTCTCTCAGGTCTCAGTCCAGCACTCTAACCACTGCTCCACACTGACTCAGTATTGCTCAATATCTGGAGGACACCAAGTTGGGGAAGGCTGGGATATGCCATAAGGGTGGTGGTGATAAAGAACTCTTATTCTTCTGCGTTGAACTCTGAAAGGGCATACTGAGGAAGTGATCTGGATGATAGATGGCTTGGACAGTACATATCTCATCTCTAGTCCTTGTGAGACCCATCATTATGAAGGTTCAGCTTCTTCAGATCCTATAGGATTGTGTTCTTGTAGTCAATGTGCTGTCTAGTATACTGTTTCTTATGGATCCAGGCCTAATGACCATCATTCATGGTGGGGTATGTGTGTGTTTACCTAGAGGTAAATCTACTGGGGAATGCTTTTATGGACAACTACTTGCAGTACACAAATCTAACTGATTGGAGCCCGTTGCAAAGTCCATTTTCTCTGAAATGCTATGGCGTAATCTGATAATGGTTGTCAGACTGCTGGGTAATTTCGCCCAGTGCCATAGCCTAGTAGTTTCCCATGATTGCTAAGCAACAATTTCAGTCCCTCTAACATTTGCACTCAATATGTTGAGCAGAACTTCTCTGCCTTACGGAGAAAACCCAACTTGTTGCAAATTGGCCAAATTATACCGAAATGATTTAACCCTGAAGTCACAGGGGCAACTAATGATCAACAGGGGAAGGCGCGCACACATGTTAATCCTTTTAAAAATACACAAAATTGATCAGGTCGGAGGATGCCTTTATTCCATGTTAACATTTCCAGTCATTAATAGCCAATCAATAAAGTGGTGGTTGAGCATAAAATATTTAGAAAAGCGAATAAGCTATTACTATGCCATATAGCTGGAAATGGTGGAAACAGTTTATTGACTTCAGGAAGGCAAAAAGCAAGTGATAATCCATTCCTGTGCAATGAAGTTATCATTTGACTCTGGAATGAGGACCATTTGTTATATGGGCTAATGGCTGAGGTTCTCCCCCCCCCCCTTGTTTTAATCGAAACAAAATGGATCAAATAAGCAGTGTATATTTTCCTGCTGTTTATAGAACAGATTCCACGTAATTCAGGGTGTACGCTTCTGATTGAGAAAGAATGGAAGCTGTTTTACTGTCTTGTAAGTTGGATCTGTTTTCCCGTATTGGTGATAATACAGGGTTAATTGGGTTTAAACCCATTAAATCTATTTCACTTCTATTTATGGACTGCATGCGATAGGTCAAACGTTCAGATGCATAATGTTTAATGCAAGCTTTATATAAGCCATTGGGTAGCCATAAAATGTAAATCCCTCCAGTCAGCTATTATTCAAATTACTTTTTATTTGTGCTAAGCAGCGATGGCCTTTTCGATTCCTGTGTGCTCTGAGTCACATGCAGCCCTTTATTTCAAATCCATGCAATGTTTTCAATAAAACAATATGCAATTATTTGGAAAACACAGATCGTAAAACTGGTTTAATGTACACAACTAATTATTATTTCCAAAATTAGATAACTTTGTGGCTGGGTAATTTATAGGAACCTTCACATGGCCAAATCTTTAATCACATTCTTCCTTAGTTTGGAAGAAAACTCTGGTTCCTTTTCTGTGGGAAGCTTTGTGACTTGGCTATGAATCTTGGTTACCACAGTGAGATAAGCAAGTGTTCTGGCCAGGCAGTCAAACATGTAGCCCTCACAGCCCTTTTTGGTGGACCTTGGCAACATTTGATGCCCCCCCCCAGCCCTAATGTGGTCTTCCAAAAGCTAAGTAGGTGAGGTGCTGGGCTTTGGGAATGAGGCATGAGGACTCTGACAGGGTCCTAGAGCCCTCCCTCCTTCTTCCCAAAACCTAGTTAGCGCTTTCTCAGCTTTGGGAAGGAGGTGGGGGGATTCTTAAGACCTTGCCAAAGCCTCATGCCTCCTTCCCAAAGCCCAGTGCCTTGCTTATCAGGCTTTGGGAAGGCTGGTGTGTGTGTATGTCAAATTTTGGCCTTGCTCCCCACCCCTCACATGACAAGGCAATGTGTGGCCCACAGATTCTGTGTCAAAGTACTCTTGCAGCCCACTTGGTATGAAAAGCTGGACCGCCCTGGCTTAGGGTGTAGTGTGAGTTTTTCTGGCTCTTCAGGTCTTGCAAAGGAACCTGCGCTTGGGTGACACACTAGGCCAAACCTTGGCTTTGTTCATGGCAGTGCAGCAGCAGCAGGACCAGAGGAACAAAGTGGCTGCAAATTCCGGGAACCCACATATTCACACTAAGCTTGGCATTTTGTGTGAACCAGAGCATCTCCTACCCACCATTGTTGGCTCTCCCTGGTAGAGTAGTTATTAGACCACTGGGGGGGGGGCTACAAAGCTGGCTCCACCCCTGACATCACACAGCTTACCCTGCTCCTTTGACTAATGTGTGGACTTCTGCAGGGAGAAAACCTACAGGCACAGACTTTCCTGGGAGTTGGAGCCCCAGTTGCATTGGGGGAAGCCATGCAATCTTGGGGGCAGGACCAGTGCCACAACTCTGCTCCCCAACAAACACATGAAGACTCCTTCACATGCATGCAATGGGAGAGGACCTTGGTGTGATCCACATGCCACTTTCTCACACATTAATTAGTATACCCCATTGAAATATAATGGCTACATTTGCCAGTTGTGGTATTTATTTACTTTCAAAATCTATGTTTGGCTGAATGAAAGGCAAAACTCTGTCATATTTGTTAATGTACAAATTCCATCATATGGAACAGTTCTATAAATCTGGAAGTCATCTGAACATCATATTGTCATTGGTCTTTCCAGTCTTCCAGTGCTTCCATGTTTGATATTGTTCTCAATGCTCACAAACTGACTCCCCATCTCTCCCTCTGTTCCTATTGAATGGTCATTAAAGACCATTAAGGTGTTTTGACAGTGTGACTTAATCTGTCTGCCACCCCTGCAGAGGAGGATTGGAGCTGCAAATCCAAACAACACCAGGAAAGTACATGGTATTTTTCTTGCACTTGCAAAGCAGTAGCTCAAGAATTTCTAATTAAAGGTATTCAGTTTCTACAAGTTGATTCACAGGCTAGCACCATGGCAAGACTTTCAACAAGCACCTTTGTTGTCTAGAGATAGAAACTCTACTAGCTGAGTTAACACTGAACAGGAAGTTCCCTCATGGATGTTGTGTTTGCTGGTGTCAATCTTTTGCTGGAAACTGATCTGTTGCCAAAATCTGTGTCAGCCAACTCTGTGGGACTTACTCCGTTTGCACACGTGTTCCTTATACAGTATGGTACATGACCCTGTCAGTCTGTTTCTTGGTGCTTTGGCTGTGTTGAATGCTCCAGAAAGGCTGATAATAAAAAAGAAATCTTGGATTCTACCAGCATCTCATTTACCTCAGACTTTGGAGGACATAGCAGTGCCAAGTGTTATTCCCCACAATGTCCCTACGTACAACTTTTATAAACAGGACAATGGTGACATCCAATCCACAGTAAATTATAGGGTTCATAATCCGGTCTGAGACCCTGAACAACTGCTGCCAGTCGGTGTAGACAACAATAAGCTAGCTAGAACATTCCTTAAACATTCTCAGTTTAAGGAAACTTCCTATTTCCCCATGATCTTTTAGAGCTCATGTGATCTTTTGTGGAAAACTGCAAAATCTGTCAATTTTGGGGCGGGGTGCAAATCAATCCATTCTTTGCTTTGATAAGTCATCTCAGTTGACATGCGTATTCATGTATCATAGTAAATATATATCCAACCTGCACAACTTTCAGAATTCTGTGGACAGAGTAACAGCAACAAGGCAGTGGGGAGGAGTCCTTTTGGAAAAGGCCAACTGGGCAGATAAATCGCCCAGATTCTGAGATAAAGGCAAGGCTGGATTTATTATCCGTCGAGTACTGAGGAATATGCTGAGACCAAGTGGACTCACTGCTGTGATTTATCTGTTTGGGAGGATCCCAAAGTGAAGCATGTGTTATATTTTTCAGCTGAGTGCTTATGGCAGCATACTGCATGCCTGCAGTATTGCAACCAGGCAACATTTGGATTTGCTCGGGATACCCACTGCTTTCAGGCAGTAGCTGTTGCTTCTTCACCTCCAGGTCAGAGTGTTAGGCTAGGCCCAAAAGACAACCTGAGATTAGGATTTTCTTTTGTCATTCGGTTGCACCCGTTTTTGCCCCGGACATTCCAAAGAGTTTCGTATCAAATAAGATGGAGGAGTGTCTGCTATACTCAAAACTGAATTGTGTGTTCTTTTTGCTCTCAGTGCAGAAATTATTTTGCTGGCAATGCATAATGCTGCTGCTCCATCTTAATATATGGGGGAGTGGCTGTGTTTGTGTTCAGAGAGGAAGCCAGTATGAGGATCAGAGTGCTGTGTATATTATAGACGCTTTCAAGGAAAGGAAAAGATGGAGGGAGCATATGGAAAGGAATCTCTGAATTGTTCTTTGCTTGCGGCTATCTATACCTCTGGCCTACAGAACAGGAATATGGGGCCCCAGGATATATAATGTCCCAGCTTCTTCACTCAAGCTTTGCATAAGCACACAGCCATCTGGATTCTTGATTGCAGCAATATATTTAAGAAGCTTTCAAAAGGGGTTTGTTTTTCAAAACATGCTGGGACATAAATCAGCTAGAACATGCTTCTAGGAAAAGAGGATCTTGTCTAAGAAAATTTTAACTTGTCAAGAATGCATTTTTCTGTCAGACACATTATTCTGCTATGATGAATGTGAAGTGGAAATACATTAGGGTGCTAGAAATGTATGCATGTTGCAAATGGGTCTTATGATTTATTTGTATTAATTCATGTTAAAATGCTAAAAATAGATTTAATGCTAAACCTCGGGTGCTGTCTAATAAAAATCAGGAAATTATAAACCAGAGCACTCTCAAATCAATTTAATTCATTCTCATAGGTACTGAAGCACCTATAAGGAATAATTTGAACAGGCTCTGTTATCCCTGAGGGTGTGGTTGATTTCCTGTCAAAAACTGTGGCAATATTTCTGAAAAGTGGATTGTTGAGTATGCTTTCCTTTCTTTGAATATACGTTCTATGTAACCCAACATTTCAGCTTGATTAGGCTTTTTTTTTTTTTTACCAGCACAAAAGAATGCAGAACACCCTCCTCAAATCTGTTTCATTTCTCGTGCAGTTCTCATTTAGAACAAGGATGGGGAATCGGTGGCCATCCCCCATCATCTGATCGAAGTTGGAGTCCAGTAACATCCAGAGGGCCACAGTTTTCCCATTCCCATTTCCCCATTCCATTTAGAGGAATAAGACAATAAGAAAACACCTGGTTTGAGGAAAACCTCAGAATTCCCAAATGAATGAGGTTTTCAAAACCCAAACAGTTCACACTGAGCCTGCAATCCAGTAGACACTATTCTGGAAGTAACCCTACTGAGCACAGTAGGAATTATTTCTGAGCCAAAAATGCATAGAATTGTGCTACTAGACCCAAATAACTATAGCTATTTCTTAGCCAGCCTTCATCAGAAGATCCCAGAGTAGGTTACAACACATGCAAACAGAATTAAAACTGTAAAAGAAACACTCCTGTCTGAAACTCAAAATTAAACACTCAACCAAGCCTTTTCATTCTATTTAATGAGGACCAAAGCTCAGCTTCAGACTTGTTGATAATACCGGTTCAGATCCATCCATAGCAGGTGCCCATAGGGCAAGGCGGGCAAGCAGCACCATGGAAAGCTCCAAGTGAGCAACTCCAAGAAAGGTTAGAGGTGATTGTTTTGAGTCCCTCCCTATCCAGCTTTACCCACCCAGCCACATCTGAAGAGTAGGAAAATTCTTAAAGGTTCAACCACCTGGCCTGAAGGCAAACACTTCTTCTTTCTGTGGCCTGGTGACCAGCACTTTCTCTGCACTGCTGTGCAGGCATAATGGAGTGAGAGGTACGTGACACTTTAGGACCTAAATTTTAGGTGAATCAGGCTCAGAAGGAGGTGTCTGTCAGGGTCCTGGCTTAGGTGGCACTGGCCGCTGATCACAAGGATCAGGTTACGTCTTGATTCAGTTCCTTAGCTGCAGGTTGGTACAATGGACTGGGCTGACTCATCTTCCTCTGACTCTAGGCATTTGACCAGAGCCATGACACCACCCCTCCTTTCCAGGAGCTCTCCTGAGATGGCTGGGATAAGAGCAGTAAAACTGGCACACCAGTATAGGAGGGTGGACATATTATCTCCCAGGACCGTTCCTCTAGCCCGCAAGATACTGTAGATCTTGCCAGTTGCTGCTTCTCCAGAACATGGAGATGGCCCATAGTTAGTAGGTTTCTGATACCACCTTCCCATTGCCTCTAGCAATATAGGAGTATGCACAACTGTATCACTCCATAAAGGTAAAGGTAAAGGTACCCCTGCCCGTACAGGTCAGTCGTGACCGACTCTGGGGTTGCGCGCCCATCTTGCTTTTTCAGCAAGGGGCAAGTCAAGGGGCGCTGTCCGGAGACACTTCCGGGTCATGTGGCCAGCGTGACGAAGCTGCTCTGGCGAGCCTGCACCAGCGCAGCACACGGAAACACCGTTTACCTTCCCGCTATAAAGCGGTACCTATTTATCTACTTGCACTTAAGTGTGCTTTCGAACTGCTAGGTGGGCAGGAGCTGGGACCGAGCAGCGGGAGCTCACCCCACCACGGGGATTCAAACCGCCGACCATACGATCAGCAAGTCCTAGGCGCTGAGGTTTTACCCACAGCGCCACCCACGTCCCTCCATAGTTCCACTTTAAACAAACCAACACACCAAGGATGTATCTTTCAGGCAGTCCAGAAATCTGACACAGCATACTGTTTACTGTCTATAATGTATCTTCCATTAAAACAATGAACTAGATCAAAGATCAGTTCAGATCCTGCTTCAGGCCTTTTTTCTTTGCAGATTCAGAAATCCTTAGGGATCATGGAAGC